ATATATATATATATATATATATACATATATATATATATATACATATATGCGAGACTGTATTCCTAGCCTTTTTTTATTAAAAAGAAGTAATACCTAAGAATTAATCCATGTTGCGGATATTAATTATAAATATCTCTCTTCTAAAAATGGGAAACTCATTAGAGAGACGAGGCAGTCCTTCTCTCTTGAATATTTAAATTTCGAACGCTTATCCAATTACGAATGCAATTTCCTGTTGTCTATTGTTAGTCAAGACAAACATATTGCGCGATCAATATTGTGCTGAGTCGTTTCATCCGGCTCTCTGTAATACGTGAAAGAAACGGGTATAATTAATGCGAAAAGTTTCCGATTATTGTCGTGAGATACAGTTACGAGATATCCATTTCTTCGTTGAAAAGACTACGGAGGGTCGTCCGATTAAATATGTATCGATGAACGAGGAAATTCCCCTCGGTTCTACAATGACTCTTATTTGCGGTTGCGGATTGAAAGAAAGTGAATGGCAACAGGATGAGACACTAATAGGAAAAGTAAGAAGAAGAGAAAGTAGACGGGGAGAAAGATAGTAAGAGATGAACAAGGTGGAAAAAGGAGCCATTTCTCTTTTATTCCGCCTCGCTTTTATCCACTTTAAAGGTCCGCCGGCGTGATATCCAATCCCGGAACGTCTAATTATTGCTGGTTAAGTGCCGGTAATTGAAGAGGGGCGAACAGACCCGTGAAATTGAAGAAATCTCTTCGTCTCTCGCCTGTTCGTAGGAGATCCGATACCGATCAGTTCCTCGACTTGGTAACTCGAGGAGCGTCTTGTTTGATAATACAGATAGAGGATCTCCTAGAGCCAACAGGGTCGGCTTCGTGCTTTTCTCTTCTTCGCGCGCTCCAAGTAATTGAAATGTCAGATTAATACTAGCAACATCGTTCGCGGATCGGACGATGCAACTAATGACATCTCGTCACGCATATCTATCGTCTTGAAAAAAATTTACATTGAAACTTCATTCTTTCATCATTCACGTACGTTACATCAGTAACGTACACGAGCAAAAAAGTAATTTGCTTCTCGCGTAAAAATTATTCAACACCAAAGGTGCGGATTGTATTCCAAATACGTAGAGATAGCTCTGAAAATGCTCTCGCGAATCGAATCGGCGGCTTTTCCAACACGTCTAAGCTTTTCGCAGATTTCCGGAAATATATACGGTCACGGGAAACTACCGTACGGCACGGATGCTTTACATATGCATGGAGAGTAAGCGAGCATGTAGCGGCTAAGTGGCCACATCCCCTTACGTGAAAGTTAAGTGGGCATGGCAGCACGAGCCGTGGCCACGGGCCGAGAAAATTATCTTCAATTATCTCGTGCAATCGGAGCTCTTCCCCCTCCGCCTGTTCGCTCCTCTACCTTCACCGCGCAGAGGTGTTTTGTCTCTACCTCGCTCTTTCGATTAGCCTCTCGGCCGATCGTCACTTTTATACCCGCACGGTAATCGAATAGCTGAAACGCCGTTCTCGCCGTGTTTTTCGCTGACCTCCGGATAGAGAGGGTTATACACCTGGTAACTCGCGCTCCTACGTAATACGGGATTATGGGTGAGTGGCCGCGCTCGTAAAACGCGGGATACAGTACTTGGACGTGTCAGAAACAGCGAAATAGCCGACTCCTCGTGTGTGCCGGCTTGGAAAATTGTAGCCGGGCAATTTCCCGCGAGGGCATACGCCGATACTTGCGTACACTCTACGAAACTCATTACTCGCGAACGCGTTAGATCCTTTGCCTGTCGAAATTTTAGTTTCGAAGCTCCTAAACGATTCGATCGAATTTGTTTCCGCGTTTACCCGACAAGAAGTCGTACCGCTTCGCGGATTAACGTACACGCGTCCGCGACGACTGGATCTCGTGACGAAACACGCGCCCTCCACTGACATTTATCTGTAGTCGTTTGAACGGTCTGTGACCGACGCGCAAATTGATACATTAGTATATCCTCGTCGCGCAGCGAGATAACGGATCTTTTTTGCGATGGCGCAAGCCGAGGGCAAAGCATGTCGAACCACTGCTAAAAGTGGAGGAGGAGGAGGAGGAGGAGGGAGGGAGGGGGGGAGACCCGATCGACAAGAAAGTCGACAGTTCTTCGGAGCGTAGCCTATGCTCGTTGCACGCGAACCGCTTAAACTCTCGTTCACGTCTTATTTTCACCTTCGCTGGTAGATACGCGTGTACCTGCGCACTCCCGCGCATTCCTCTCGCGGAACGCACACGGCTGCACCACTGCGCGTAACCTGCGCGCAGATTTACAACGCTTTGTCGCAGCACTGCTGCAACAGGAAATTCCTGCTTGCCGTTCCCTCGTCTTGTTGGAAATGGCAAAATTATTGTCGCACCGCGGCACTTACTCCGCTCCACGCGAGGCAGCGATAATTTATATAATACTCGTGCATCTCTTCAACGAGACACCTGTAATAGTAATAATAACGATTCGCTTGATAAGCAACTGCCTCGTGAAAAATAGTGAAAGTCGCGGATAATTTCTGCAATATGACGGTAACTGCGGGCTGCAACTAGTTATCATGTATGCGAGCGTACAGCCGTACTAATTAGCGACGATCGACGTTTAATTATTAGCTATTATCGGCCGTAAGCAACGATATTAACCGTTCTAATGAGAAGTTGTTATAATTGTTTATCTACTTCTGAAAACGAGATTGATCTATCATGAAATCAGATCGAACCGAACGTTCGGGAGCGTAACGTGAGTCTTTCCGCGTATCCATTTGGTTTGTCGCGCGACGGCACTTTTCGACACTGTCGTCGAAACCGTCGCATCGCGCAGCTTAACCGTTTTTAACGACGGCGGCTGCGGAGACTGGAGAGCGCGCACGAGCGGCGTTGCACGTACTTGAACGAGCGCGCCGACCGCAACTTCTGTTTTCCATCGGCTCTTTCTTACTTAATCTTCACGGCGAAACCTTAGTACCGGGCGATTGGCCGTTTCCACGGCAAACCGCGCAATTACGTTGCACAATAATCTATCTTGCCAGTAGTCGCGCGCGGCGCACGCTCTCGCGATCGTAAGCCTTCTCTCTATCGCGCCGCGCGGCGCGAGTCCCCGACGGCGGTGGGACGAGGACGGAAAAGGAAAGAGCGAGGGGGCTGGAGGAGCGCTCGGTTTAATCGCTCGCATCGCGTACTCTCTCGCGAAAGCCGCTTGTGTGTAATTGTCGATATTTTTTTTTTTTTTTTTTTTTTCAATCCGACCGACAATTCGCGATAAATCGCCGCGAGCGCTGTACGCGCTTGACTCATAGGCGCGGTGATTATCCCACCGCCGCTGTGGGTAAAATTGATTTATTTCGGGAATTGCGCGATGCATAAACTGTGAGAGACAGGCGTGCGTGGGAAGCTCTTACTTTATTCTCCAACCGTCTGTCTGTGTTTTTCTCCGTGATCATTTTTGCAGTATCGATGGCTCGCGCGTAAGCGCGGAAATGTAATATATTGATTTTCCTTTCGCGATGCGCATTGAAGAATTGGTTGCGGTCAGCAATACGGGCAATCACGGGGAAATTTATATTTTACGATTCACTCGTCATAAAGCGGAGTGTCTTTTCTGCAATTTGCTTTCTAATCTGCATTCATGTATTTTCGTATATACTTTTGCATACTGTTTTTACTGCCATTGATAGTTCGTTTTTCTCTTTTTTTTTTTTTTTTTTCGAATCCGAAAAATTGACTCGCGCATCGTGACGACGCAATTTTCTTTGTGCGAACGTGCACAACACCGCGTATTTTAATTTACATACATAGGTATGTGTATCTCTGGCATTTATCGAACGCATATATAAAAAAATGTGACAGAAGGATATATCGCGATATTTCCTCTCTCGCGCTTTAAAATACTAATTAAAAAAAAAAAAACCCGTTTCATGTAAGTTTAATCTTACTCGATTTAATCTCATCGGCAAGAGAATACTTCTCGTATTTCGCTTTCCGCAAAATAGTTTTGACATAAATTAAAGTAGTTTTCTATTTGCACACGAAGGACGTACAGCCAACCGTATTGCTCGAACGTGCGTTCTCTTCCGGACTTGCAGGGTTATAAAACGGCGTCACGGTGATATCTCTGTGGCTGTTCACGTACACGTAGAGAGCTAAAGAGACACGTCCGCGGAGAGAGAAAGTCCATCTCGTGGTCTCGATTACTGTCGCAGGTGGCCGATCAGGGATCCTCGTACGCATTAGACATTAACGAACGTTGATCGTGTCCCTTCGCCCTTCGCGGCGACTCGGTACTCACCCCAGTGTCAGCCGTCAAAGCGCGATTCCGCGGCGAGGAAGGGACACTATTAATTGACGAGCAGAACGCTCCCACGAGCAGCACTCTCGCGCCCTCCCACATAATTCTCCCTTAATGTGACGTTCTCGTCTACTCCTCTTACTTTCCGCCCTATCCACATCCAAGATAATCTTTCCTCTCGCGCTTATACGCGCCAACGACGAATCGAATGTTTCTTTCCCGTGCGTGATTGCAAGGGTGTGAGAGAGAGAGAGAGAGAGAGAAAGAGAGCATGTATTCTTTTTCCCCTCCCTTTCCCTCTCTTTCTCTCCTCTTCCTTCGTAGGGTCGAACACACTGCCCAGATATTATGGTCGTCCCATAAAAGGCCCACCGCCTTGGTGATTGGGCTTTCCCCGGGCGTTTATTATTGCACGTCCGGTCACGGCGAGTGGATTAAGACGAGACGGGGGAATCGGAAGTCGCGGGAATCGAAGCTGAGATAACGTGTCGACGGTAGGCGGGCGGAATGGAGAAACAAAGGGAACCCTCCGGAGTTAATCGTCCTGCGGCAGTAGATTCTTCCTTCACGCGAGATATTACAAGAGCGTGCTATCAAGATTTGCGATAATTTTTCTCAGACTTCAGCTAGGTCAATGTAATGGATTTTTGTTTTATGTGCGTTTCTTGTATTATATTTGGCTCGGGAAAAATTGTATGTGTATTTTGCAAAAAGTAATACATCGAATTGTTTCGGCGTAAATTTTTACGTGTTAATCTGCATCAGATTACAAGTTCAACCGATGGTAGAAGAAGACTTTCTGTATGAATAATGAATCTTTACGAGTATTATCGCAAACGAATTTGCAAGAAATTTTGTACAAGGCTTCTCGCATGAAGGATTTCGCATGTCTTTTTTTGTTTTTTGTTTTAACAGAGAATTCTTGCGATCCCGGCTAATACGCGGAATCATTATACCGGCCTTATCCGAATGTATCGCGAACTAATTGGGTAATAAGTATCGTTTATAAGTACATCCTAACGGAATTCCTTTTTGCGCGCGAGCGATTTATACGATTCTCAGCACGAAAGCCTGCACTGCGGACGCGGCGGCTTCACCAATACCAGTAGTCGTAGGTATTCAGTGCAACGGAATGGAAGTTAATTGGGTAATTAGTGTCGTTAATAAGCAAGCTTTAATTGAATCTTTTTTCCAGGCCGCGAGTGGTTTTGCGCGCGAGAAAACGGTTTTCGTAAAGAAAACAGGGAATCTGAGAGACGTTGTAGACTTTAGCGACGCGATATTTCCCCTCTGTGACAACGCTGTCGTCGTTCCTCCGTATAAATTCGCCGGAGTAAAGGGACTCGATAAAACGACCGCGTCGCGTTTTCCTCTTCTTTTTTCTTTTTTTTTTTTTTTTTCTTTTCGCTGAAGACTTAGCCGCAAGAGAGTGCCGGATCGTCGGTAATTCCGTCCAATTAGGACACTCCCAATTAGGAATCTTAACCCCGCACGTCGATCGTTGTTCCTTCCCATACCATTCTCACTCCCCGGATCTACCACTACGAGGAGAAACTTACGACAGGTCTCGCCTTCGCCAAATCTTCGCCGAGAGTATCGGAGAAGAGTCTCGTTACCGTCCATTTACCGTTTAAATATCCATTTTCACAGAGACACACATTAACGGTATTGCAATCTAATCGTTCTTGAGTCTATTTTATTTTGTCTACGTACTTTCCCATCAATATGCAACTTGAACACATTTTTGTCTATCTTGCACTCGTACTCTCCATTAAAATACATTGTTGTCGGCGGAGGATTAAAATGAGAACAATTATAACATGATTATAACAATTGAGTATACTTGAAATATTGAACGTTAACGACATTTTATTCTGAATTTTATTCGGAATTGAAGAAAGGTATCGGACGATACTGAGCGATGAATGTCGCTGCTTACTGTTGCAGGATGCCGAGATCGAGAAATCGACGCTACCGGTGATCGGTCCAGGCTTGAACGGTCGCAACAGCAACTCGTCATCCACCGACAGCCTGCTGTCGCTGTTGATTCCGACGCCGTTACGAGAGACCCTTTGGGCAACGGTGGCTCTGTACCTCGGCTGGAGACTTGTCTCCCGCCTGCGATAGATGCTCCGGTTTCGTCCAACCGTTCTGGGTCCAATCCTACGGGCTCGATCGTCGATTGTGTCGACGACTAGAACGCCGATATCGGGGGTTACAATTAGAAGAAAACGGACGGACCGCCAGCACTTCTTTCCTTGTCTGCGACCGCGGACAATTCTGTTCTATGGAATCCTCGGGACGGATCGTTTCGAGAGGAGAAGGAGGAAGAGGAGAAGAGACAGTCTACGGCGCGTACTCTGGATCTCTTTATGTCATCGGATGATGGATTTAATTGAGGTAGAGCGCGTCGAGAAGACGAGACGTTCTTTTACTAAACATCCACTCCGATAATACGATTGTAATTTTATATTGTCTATCTTTGTATTTCGCGCTTGCGTTGCGCGGCTACGCGAGAATGCGCTTGATCGACTTTGATCGGTTCCTGAGGGACCATGCGACTGCAAATACAATTTGATGTCTTTTGATCATGACGATGAAAGTAGTAAGATAACTATTTGCTTCTGCGGCGTGCTTCTGATTTCCTTATAATTGACGATTCTAATTAATTGATTAACTAATAATTGATAATTGATAATTCATTACGTATTATGATTTATTTAGTAGTTGATAATTGATAATTAATAATTGTAATTAATAATGATGATAATGGATTGATTTTATAATAATTTTTATACTGACGATTGTGATAATGATAATAATAATAATTGAGTTGACGAGTCATAGTTGCTCTCTATACTATACGCCTTTTCATCCCTCCTCCGGGGAGGATGAACGGGTAGATTTTATATAGAAGGATCTTTAATTTTGGGAAGGTTGATTCCAAAAAAAGTTCTTAAATCATCACCTATCTATTAATTAAATCGATGACGACGAGAGAATCGACCATCCTATCTGTTTGCTTCATTGCTGTTTGTCGAGAAATTGCGCGCTGTCGATAAATTGTGACTGTGATTGCCGCGGATGACGAAGCGAGGGTTAGCGACGACGACGACGACGGGATAGCGACGTCGAGGTACAAGTGCATTCTCGCGCGATGCAGGAGTTATTTTCGTACGTAGCGCTGTTCGTTCGTGCCGATAGTTCATCCTGCGAATTCGTAGGCAAAGGGGCGAAGAACGGGAACTAGGATTTTTGCGAAGACAGGGGGAGAGGGGAAAGATAACCCGGGTGAGAGTAATCGAATTGCGTATTACGTGGCGATCGGACCCGAGACAC